ATTATATGTTGGTGTTGATATTGGTACCTTGGTATCCTTTTGCTATCATATGTTGGTGTTGGTATCTTGGTATCCTTTTGCTGTCATATGTTGGTATTGGTATCTTGGCATTCTTTTGCTGTCGTATGTTGATGTTGGTATCTTGGCATTCTTTTGCTATCATATGTTGGTATTGGTATCTTGGTATTCTTTTGCTATCATATGTTGGTGTTGGTATCTTGGTATCCTTTTGCTATCATATGTTGGTGTTGGTATCTTGATATTCTTTTATCATCATATGTTAGTGTTGGTAACTTGGCATCCTTTTGCTGTTGTATGTTAGTATTGGTATGTTGGTGTTGGTATCTTGGCATCCTTTTGCTGTTATATGTTGGTGTTGGTATCTTGGCATCCTTTTGCTGTTATATGTTGGTGTTGGTATCTTGACATCCTTTTGCTGCCATCATGTTATTTATCAGATAATTTAATTTTTTTTGTTGAATTTCTTTGGTGTCTTGGTGTTCTTTGGCTGCAGTACATTATTTATCAGCTAATTTGATTTTTTTTGATTAAGAGGTGGGCTTATTTGAAGTATTTCTTTATCATGTTGCTATAACAAATACTGATAGGTTTAGATTAGGGTTAGTAGATATATGTTGGAGATTAAAATAAAGGCTATAGGTAAGAATGTTGAATGTATGTTAGCATAAAGTTAAGTTTGAGATTAGCATAGAAGTTAGAGAAATTGATAGTTAACAGCTGGATAGAATGACATTCATTACTAAAATCATTATTTATCATGACAAATATACAATAAATAACTATGATAAGTTTAGCCTCATGCCTATTAGCAGGCCTTTGTTCTGTTAAGATTTTTGCTATATATAATTAAAGTAGTTGCACAATGTAGTGACAAATGCCAATTATTCTGTGCAATCTATTTCAAAGTATTGTGCATCATATAAATTAATTAATGATATATGTATAAACGAAAACATGATTTTTGCATTTTTTAAACTGTAAATAAAACTTGATTCAATAATATGATAGGCAACTTAGAAATAACAATCTATATTTCTTATATAAAATACCAAAAATATTACACTCTAATAATAGAAGACTTTAATAGTCTGAATAAATTAGTAATGCAAGCAAAATTTAACAAATCAGCCAAAATTTTGGTCAGAATAAGCAGAATTGATCAATTTTTTTTAAAATTGTCTGAAGTCTTACTAATAAACTAGCAGTTCATGTACTAAGTAAAGGTGCCCAAATAATAATTTTGCTATAATATAGTAGGCTAATATTCTTGCTTAATGCCAGCCTAACTTCAGTTTATTTCCAACCCTAAATTCGAGCAGATTGTCTGAATTTTTGATTGTGTGACTAGAGATGTCAATGGTTTGGTTATGACCATGACTGATACAAGTTTGGTTACAAATTCTGACTAACCAAACTGACCATTTGACTAATACTATTTTTTGTTATTTATTATTGTAATGATCTTTAAATAATTATTATGATACAAAAATAGATTTGATTATATG